TTCACAGGTACACATACCATTGTGATTCATTAGAACGGGATAAGGGGAGGGATTAGAAGTACAACAGCAAAACAGTTAAGGGAGAGAGGGAGACACATGCGTACGAAGTCGATATTTGTTGAAACATAAAAAAGGCGGGACCAGTACATGCAAACAAACAATCATTAAGTAACAACTAGAAAGAGCCAATGAGATGGGCTACATGCGTGATTAGAAAAGTAAAAGCACAACACAAAAATAAACAAGAGTGAATGATTACGGATGCGGCGATTACCCCACTAAAAGGGGAATATCCATTCGCTTCGGGATGAAAGGGGAAGTGGTCACGGACACTTACAGACTCGGGATGTCAACTCACAGCGTGTGTTTTTTAGTGCCGTATGTTATCTAGAAGTGCATCAAAACTCTGTTAAGTGCATGCCCACTTATACACCTGAGGGGATGGGGTTCAGTGAGTCTATTGCAGCTGGCAGCTCTCCTTGGAGGCATCTCAGGTGCTGGCAGCAATCTTCACAGACCGCCCGCAAAGTAAAAAAGGCAGCTTGCCAGTGTACAATAGTACAATATTGTGAACAGATGTAAGATGGGTGGCATGCTTGAGTACATGAGGCACAATTGCTTTAGACAAATTATTCTGCATGCATATATGCATCTTATATATCTTATGATCTGTGCACGGAGGAAGGCGCAAGTGCGCCGATTCACATAGCAGTGATAATAAAATCAAGAGAATAATATTAACGAAGGAAATTTTCTACACCTCCACGACCTACGTGCCTGCAGCATTGGATTTTTCAGGTCCACTGTAGCCCAAGCACCATACGGTATATGCGAAGGCGCAAGCGCTCCGATTCACATAGCAGCGATAATAAAATCCAGAAAATAATAATAATGAAGGAAATTTTCTACACCTCCACAACTTACGTGCCTGCGGCATTGGATTTTTCAGGTTCACTGTAGGCCAAGCACCATAATCGGTATATGCTTTCATATAATTTATTTATGACACTAGAGACACTATGAAAATTATGGATGAGGTACAATTCATGAGCTTCCCAGTCGATGTGCATTGAAGGCATCACCACGGAAAATCTTTAATAGTGGTGGCCAAGATTATTAACATGCTTAGAGAGTGTAAGGTGTGATAGGCCCTTTACCTGTGCTCTGTGGTTGTTGATTCTCATCCTGAACGCAGTCTCAGTTTAACCAATGTACTAAGCATGACATAATGTGCGTTCGAGAAGGTAGATGACGAAGTTGTCACAGTTGAAGTTGCCTCATATGATGAGAAAAGGAAGAAGCGATACTTGTGAAAGTGAACACCTTGTTCATCATTGGACAGAGTTCGCACCTAGGTTTGTTGCAGGCCCCGCTGTCTGTGAATTCAGGAGTGTTAACTTTAGAGACTGTCTCAATATCTCTTACGATCCTCACCCGTCTGTAGACAACGGGCGGAGGTTCCAGGAAAACACATCGCAACTTGTCGCTCTCAAGCAACTGTAGCAGTGTGAGGTCCTTGCTTAATTGTTGACAGTTGGAAGTGAAATCTGCCTAGTAAGAACATATACGCTTGAACTGAAGAGACTGGCTATATGGTATGCCAAGTTTACAGCGTTTAACATAGTTGCTGCCTAAGTGGAGATACATTATTGGTGTCAGTCACTTGGTTATCTGTAATGTGCAGTTGCAAGCTTATGATCCAATATTTTCAGTGATACGTCAAGAAAATTTATGGTAGAAGCGGAATAGAAATGAGAAAATTAAGTATTTTCACGGGCCTTGTTGAAAGCACCTATGAAATCTACAAGCTTCTTTTCTCCGTGACACCAAACAAGAAAGATATGATCGATGAATCTTCGATAAAAAAGGGGGTGTAATGGGTTGCTGCTCAAAAATTGTTACCAGTGTGCCCGTAAAGATATTGGCATGGTTGGGTTCTTTGTTCCCATTGATGTTCTATTGACTTGGGCATAATGCATGTTATTAAACTCAATGTTGTTAATCTATAAAATGAGCTTCAGAAGAGCACCGAGAGATTTACTATCAATTGAACTGTTTTGGGTTGACTCTTCATGTGCCTGAATAACAGATTCAATACCAACTGAATTAGGAATATTTGTGTATAGAGGCGACGTCAAGCGTAACTAGCAGACTATCTCAAGGTATAACCAGATTCATATTGCCAGATATAAAGTGATTGGCATCATTGACATAGAAAGGTAATGTTAGGGGAATGTTTTTGATAAGGCTATCAATATAACTGGGCTTTGGTTTAGTTACCGTTCCTATTGCGGAGATGATAGGTCTCCCTGAATTGCCTGCTTTGTGTGTTTCAACAATATCAACTCTGTATGCATGTGTCCCTCTCCCCCCTTAACTGTTTTGCTGCTGTACTTGGTCCCTCCCCTTCTCCCGTTGTAACGAAGCATGACAGTATGCGTACCTTGTATGTATTGAGAATCTGTACTTAAACTCGAGCTCAGCATAGCGATCGCACCTTTGATAAAGTGTCGGTCCCTGGCCGAAAGCACTGAATAAATTATGTTAAAGTTTTTCACTGTGACTTTTATATATATATATATTATATACACTGAATAAATTCAGCGGCTGCAAGATGGCACCCAACTCACACAGTCTAATGGCGTCTTTTTCCGGTTCGCTTCGGCTCATCGCAATGTTTTCCAACCACTATAGAAACGATCCCATGCTATCGGGAGGCAGTCGAGTGTACCGCTCGAGGGGCACAAATACGACTATCTCAGTACGAGGTGCACGAAGGTGGGGTCACTAAAAGCAATTTCATTGGTTACGCTGATCACCTGGCATAAGATGCGATAAAGATAAGGATAGCGTAGAAATACGTCTGAGAGTCCAACATGGCACAAGGGGCACCAAAGCACAATGAGGTTACTGGGCGCATACGTGGACATCACAATGGTGGGCATCAGATACGCGCCTCTGATATGTCCTGTAAGTCTGATAGCACTCTTGCAACCTCTGGGCCTTCATTAGTGCTTCCCAAGCGTACTACAACGTACAACTTGGCCTGGCCAGTAGGAATGTATGAAAAGTAGCATAGGGTTGTAGTAAAACAAAGAAAAAAACTATAGGACTTTCTTCACGTGGTCTCGAGGGTAAGTGTTCATAACAGACATGTGTGAGCCAGGGTCAACTAGGGCCATCACTGTTACACCATTCAAGCCTACATGATAAGGTTACGATGAGCAGGCAGGTTCAATAGAGGATTTTGGCATAGGTTCGTTACTGCAGCAATATCTGTTCCAGTATGAGCACCTACGGACTCACCCAAATATTAGTTTTGCAAGCCTGAATTTCTTAACACTGGTCGGCTTGCTTTATTCAGAGTTCCTTGAATTTCGCCCCTTGGAAGCTTTTTGCGACATTTCAAATTTTATGAGCATCATACGAGCTCATAATAGTAGTTAGATCTCTCGCTGTAACAAACCATTTCATTGCATTCCAAGGGATGTGGGTCAACATTGTAAAATAAAATGTAAAAACATCCCATCTTGTAAATAAACTGAAAATATTAAAAAATATTTTGATGCTAAAACTTAACGAGGATATACCAGTATCGACGTCCTGATGTGAAATTTTAAAAGTGGGTATTTGGCTTTCAGGTGCCCCTGCAGCAGTAAAAAATTGCAGCACTATTAAATGATGTATTACAGCAGTCTCAGTAAAGAAAAATTTATTGAACGAAACTGCTGCATAAATGGAACATTTGCAACTGCTGATATCAATGGTTTCATATATGAATTCTGTAATCCTGTTCCCTCAACGGGCCTTCTTTGGAATACCCCTCCATCATTGACACCCACATCAAAATTACTTGTCTAACCTACTCGAATTGGCCCAAAATAAGGCAGCCCGGTTTATCTTGTCTTCATATTCTTGTTACGTAAGTGTATCTGCCTTTCAGAAAATGCTAAATCTTGTCCGTCTTGACACGTGCAGAAAATTTGTGCGGTTGGTGTTTTTCATAATCTTTCTCACGATAACACCACATTTGCTCGATCTAACTTTCTGCCTGCTGCCATGTATCCATTCGGCGAGTATTTTGCCCAGACGAACTTTTATCAAAATTTGCCGTATTATCGATTATAAAATGGAACTCTTTACTCTCATCTGTCATGTCACTACAGAATCAATTCTATTTCAAGCTGCCACAACAGTGTTTTTGGAAGGAAACCATCCATAGCATAAAAATATTTGCATGCTTTGTAAAAAAAAACATCTTCCACATTAAAATTGTTAACACAACATGGTCATTAGAGTTGTACTTTGCCTTGTGTACATTTGTTTCAGACTTTCTTGTTGTCTCTTCTGAATTGTGCTCCAACCCACCCCATCCCCCTTTTTTTTTTCTTTTTGTAGCTGTACTGATTGATTAGCGAGAATGAAAGCACATAATGTTTAACTCGAAGGATATGTTACCCAGCTTATTTCGTGGTTTCTGTGTTTATTTTTACCATTATATATACACACACCTCGTTCTTGTACCCACGCTTGCATCCCCCCCCCCCCCCCTATGTCATGCTCTCTTGGGCCCTTAGTGTATTTGTATAAATAAATATAGCAATAGACAGCCCAGTGATTACAGTGATGCAACACATAATGCTAATACGATGACTAGAGAAAGCTGACGGGGGGGGGGGGGGGGGTTAATACCCCAAAGCTACTCAGGACCGACAGGTGCCATAATGGAGGTCTCTGGACAATTTAGATAACGCGCTCACACCATCAGAATGAGAGTGGCTATGCCGGGACTGCAATTAGACTGAAGCAGCATCAGGAACAAAGTGCTTGTGAATATAATTCGTTCTACCAAAAAGGCCATAAATGACATCTAAAAAGCACCGTGTAAGGAATTCGTTAGGCTTAACCACCAATGATTATCACCAGTGGTTTACAGAGTCGTAGAAGCTTTTGATACTCTTTGAGATGGTAATTGCGTATCGGCTAGTAAAGAACAAAAACAGGCTCTTGTGCTCTTTAATGGAAGCACTCAAACAGGATATCTAAAGCAAACAAATTAAACAGGCAGTGCCCCTAGCAAATGGTGAAAAGCCACAGCAGCTCAGAAGTTGGTGTCCCAGTAGTGCCAAATCTCGTCGGCTCTCTTGGGCTCTGCATGCGCGAAGAACTCCTCAGCGACAGGATCGAGGTGAGTGTCGGGACTGATTGTTTTGTACAGGGGCTCTCCGTAGTAGGTGCCCACTACCCATCCAGGCACATCCTTCATCAGCTCCCGCTCTTCCTCACGGTTCTTCTTCAGCTGCTTCAGGTACCTGTTAGAAAAAGTTACCCAATTACTTTTCGTTAATCAAAACAATTATTGATGAAGTTTTATGTGCTTATCATTTGATTAAGAAGCACAACATATCATGAGTGCAAGATTGTCCATTGCTTCCATGAACTGAAAAAATATTTACCCTCACCTTTTGTCATATTTATTGAATGAACATAATGCGCTTCTACAATCTGTTACCAATATAATAAAATGAGCTTTTTTTTCTTTTCAGACAGCTTTACTAACATACTTACATGACCATACCTGGCATATCAGCAGATCTATTAAAAGAGCAATGACAGAAAATTTCGAAGGTGACATAATGAGAGAGATTTATGTGGAAACATACACGACATCTACAAGATATAGAGGGGAAATATAGGATAGAACATATTTAGGATCAATTTTAAAGTGCATGCCGCCCGACTAAACGAGATGCAAAGCCCCTCGCGACACCCAAATCAACACAGGGGCAATGTAATCAAACCTACGTCACGAGCTTGTGTTGGCTGGTTGCTGGCACACACCTTGCGCTTACGCTACGATTGATTTCCTCCTCTGTGTGCCTGTGGCTTCGTGTGTACTGTCGGTGCAGTGCCCGCTCACGCACACCCTCGCATGCGGGCCCACGTCACAGTTTTGCATGGTTACGTGGCGAGCTGTGTTTATCTTGAGCCCGGAACAGCTCCTGCCTAACTGTGCTTTTTGAAGCCGTAACTGGGCCCTCTAAAGTATTTCAAAATAAACAACCATCAGGCACTCATGCAAACGAGGTTTCCAGCCGTGATAAGCAGGTCATAAGCAACCTATTGCAAAAAAAAAAAGAGCTACAAAATTTTTGTGTTGGTTCTCCTTCAATGAAACACTTACTTGGTTTTGTTTCTGATATGTCTCTGTTTCTTCAAGGCTTTTAAAATCGTTGATATTTGAAAAAAAATATATTTACCTATACCCATTGGACGTGTGTAAAGCGTGCGGGGAAAGGGCCACACTGTGGCACATGCTTTGGGAGTGTGATAAAAAAGTGAATGTCACAGCCACCACTCCCTTCGCGACGCATGTAAGGTGGTGACGAACTCCCAGGCCAATTGCTGCTGCTACCACCGCGCGAAGGCAGGGGCTGACCTCCGCAGTGAGCTGCGGTCACTGTTGCCGTATGGCGGCGTTAGCTGCACTTCCACTGGGAGGCGGCATGAACCAGCGACGAGCTGGCCGATCAACATTAGGCCGTCCGACAAGCTGAAGATGCCGCTCAGGTCCAAAGACTTTGAGCGGTCCCCTGAGGCACCGCCATCATAATCGATGGAGAGTGGGAGGGGACAGGGGTTCATCCCCTCTTCCCCCACCTCCCGGTGAAAACTGCCAAACTTTAAATAAAGTTTATTCATTCATTCATTCGAACAAACCTGCCCGTTGACCATGTGTTATTCAGTGTAGAATCATTCCATTAGGAGACAATTAACCGGTATATATATAACTTCCTTAAAAGGGGGAATCAGTTCGGTGATATCATATAAAACATGATTTCATATAAAACGTTTAAAAAATTTAACATATTTTTCGTGAAAAAAAAAATCGGTATCCATACTGACTTCACAGCAGTGCTTCGTGACAATGCAAGGAAAAGTGCTTATTACAATATGCTCTGATCTCTCTCTCTCTCTCTTTTCTTTTTGGCCACATTTTGTGACTGGGATTAGGGTTATACAAATGCCGGTGAGGGCTGTTGATGAGAAAATACAGTATCAATGCGCACAGTGAATAAACATCAGGATATACTGCTTTGCATGCTCATAGGGTGCCAGAAGCCTGCAGTCTGCCTTAGCCCTCATATTACTGTTGTTTTTCAATATCTTACTCGGTCTGCTTCTTGGAATGCTGTATGCAGCACTGATGTCAGCCTTCTTTCCTCTATGTTCAACTGTGTTGATCATGGCCTTCGTGGAGACCACCCAGGTTCTTTTGTTTAACAGAAGCCAGTGGGCAAAGGAGCATTGACACTAAATTTCGATATCGAGGTGTGCCCTTCATTTGGTTGCTCGGTATGCAAGGTCTTCTTGACGAAACTTTAATGGCATCCATTGTGTGGAAGTAATTTGATTTTGACCGCAAACAGCGTACGAAAGGTCAGCGGGAAAATTGAATGTCCTGCAACATCGACACTAGTGCTACGTGGTCGGTGTGATAGATTCCACCCATACGCCCCGCCGCGGTGGTCTAGTGGCTATGGTACTCGGCTGCTGACCCGCAGGTCGCGGGTTCGAATCCCGGCTGCGGCGGCTGCATTTCCGATGGAGGCGGAAATGTTGTAGGCCCGTGTGCTCAGATTTGGGTGCACGTTAAAGAACCCCAGGTGGTCGAAATTCCCGGAGCCCTCCACTACGGCGTCTCTCATAATCAAATGGTGGTTTTGGGACGTTAAACCCCACATATCAATCAATTAGATTCCACCCATACCATCCTCAGTCATGATGTGCTAGCAGCGATGACGTCCATGATTCAAGTGTTTTCATTGTGGCACCCATGCCTGCAAATGCTCTCGCTCTTCATGCCTGGCCTTCGTTGCATACTGCTTTGAATAATTTCATGAAATTACAAGATGCAAACCACAAATAAAAGAAAGGGGAAAGAAAAGAGCATGATTCGACGTGTGCTCGACAGTCAGCATGTCACGGAAGTGTTGTGAACTGCAGTCGTCTGATTGGAAGCGCGGAAAAAGCGCAATGAATGTGTAGTTTCCTTACATGTATGGTACATGCCAACACAACCACAAGCTATCAAAATGGTGTGTGCATAGATAAATACCGTCACCAGCAAGTAACACCCAGGTATCCTTAACAGTGAATATTAGTTCATCCGTAGACGTCTTTGCGCTCGCATAATACCGAGTTAGCCGTCGCATGGAGCTTTTTCTTCCTCCATGTGCCACTATAACCAAAATTCTAGTAACGTTGACCGTAACCGTGGAACGCTGGAGAGGTGGGGCCATCTGAAGGTGCAAAAACAAACCAGGCAAGTACAAATTTGTTATTAGAGCTGTTATAGGTTAATGTATTGTGACAACGTGTTGTGACACTGCTTTCATTCTGCCCAAGAACTAAGCAGCAAACGGGCAGTCTGAGAAAGCATAGCGTGCAAACACCCCATGATGATGGTGGTGACACCCAGTAAAGATGAGGACAGAGACCCAGAGGATGAAGATAATTATATTGTATAGATGAGAAGAAGTGCATAACGAATGCCCACGATATTCAACTTCTCCACTGGTGTGCGTTCCTTATGTTAGGAAATATTGCACAGACACCTCTGCATGTATCGGAATGCTGTGCACATCGAAATTCCCTAATAACACACGCACAAGCAGTGCCGAAGCATGTGTCCCCGGGCACTTTGGAATCTGAAGAGAATCAATGGAAGCAAAAATGGTTCGCAACGGCCTCAATTGCGGTGATTCAAAGTCTATCTTATTCAACCCTACTCGACACTTTGTATGGCGACGACAGCAATGCTGGCGACAAAACATGGCTGAACGTGTGCACCAAGCAGACAAAATGTTAGGGGAGCAGCTGAGTCTCACGTCACTCCTTTTCGTAGAAAAGTGGTTAGCTGGGGCGCTATCTGGAGACAACCACGAAGAAGTGCTGCCAGAGCCAAAAATGGCGACTTGCTGGGTGTTATTAATCGTACTTAGTACTTAGGATATAAATCAATCAATTGGATAGTTGTTTATACCCGAGTGGCATTTTGGATCACAGATCCCTATTAGAGAGCTGATCACTACATGTGGATGCAAAAATCTTGACATTAGTAAATTTGATGTAAGTGCTTTACAAGGAACCTGAGAAGTGAACAGCATAGGACGGCACAGCAATGCGAACGAATCACAGGAAAAAGCATGTGATAACAAGTAACAGTTTTCTACGCACTGTTCGAGGTACCCTTATGACCACACTGGTCATTTTACCAAATGCACGTGGGAAAGTCCCCTTTGTGAGAACGAGACAACATATCGCACTCATATATATATATATATATATATATATATATATATATATATATATATATATATATATATATATATATATATATATATATTTGTGACCAAGAGAAACGCTGGGGCTTGGGCACACGGGAAGCTAGATGGAGAAACAAGAGAAGGTAGTCAGATAAATAACAGCCGGCCCGCAGCAAAGGTGCTGTCTCTGTTTCGTTTATTTCTTACAAAACCGCAGTTTGACAACTAAACCTTGCGGATGAAGCCACGTGTGCCTCCAGATCATTGGCACCGGTGGTCTCTCAATCCAGGAATGCCATCCACGCTTCCTGAGTAATGGACCTCACGATCCGACCGCTGCTGCAGCTACCCAACGAATCATCTGCGGACAGCATTAATGCCTCTTCGGTGGTTACAGGGTAGGATCTGTCAGGAACCTTACTACCACCCTCGTCAGAGAAGGCGCACAAGCTCCTGTTGTTTGCAAACGTCGCGTATGCTTCCTGTGATATGAATCTCGTGCTCAAGACTCTTCTAACAGGTGAGCATTCAAAAGACATCAGTCGGGTTTCCTTGGCGTACCCCTACGTCGCCAACACAGCGCGCGGTCTTCCGTTGCCCGGGAGCGCTGTTCATGCTTCCGTCACGACACCCTCTCGTTATATGCTCTATGGACCTCTCAGCAGCTTTGGGATGCTGTACAAGCTCCTTCTGACAAGCAACCAATTACCGAGACCACAACTAACACCTCCCACTTCCCTGACATTGTCACTGGCTCCACGTGCAGCTCATCGGGTAGAGCCCCGCAGCTGAGGTGTACCCTCGCGTAACTCAGCTTTGAACTTAACACTTGAATAGCACGATATAAAATGTCCATGATATGTCCTGCTGTTGTACCAACATTCTGTGCAATGAATGCCCCTGGCTGCGGCCGCCTCGCAAGACATTGAATTCCGTTAACGGAGAATCGCAGAGAGCTCAGGTGTGCGTGTATCCGCACAGCT